AAACATTATATCCCTGTAGACTAGGCTTTTTGCTCTTTAAGGGCTTCATGTACCTGGTGCCTTCTCTAATATGGCACTTACAAAATAGCATTTTAATGACTTGTTTGTCTTCCATGGTGGACCATGAGCTCCTTAAAAACCGGGAACAACATGTCTTGTTCGAGAGTTGTATTATTTGTGTTAGCATAGTAACAGTCAACATATGGTGGTTCAAACACGATGAAAGTGTTTCCCTCCCTTATAAAAGTTTACATAAATAGGTGGCTCAGTGGTGTTGGGGACCAGGAGGTTTATGTTCCTTTGATCTTATTGTTCTGTCACTTTCAACATAAAGCTCTCATCTCATCTCAAACTCCAACATGCCTTCTCCACTCTTCCCATCGTATTCACATTCCAGTCATTGGGAAAGAGAAACAAGAAGGGGAAGGCATGTTCCTTTCTTTTAAGAACACGGCTAGAAGGTACATATTACACTTAAATCCCAGTGGCAGAACTCAGTGTTCAGCCATATCTAGCTGCAAGGAAGCCTGAGAAATATAGTCTTTAGTGGCATATGCACAGATTAAAATTCTATTACCATGACCAGTGGACAGAATAGATACTAGATGCAACTAGCAGCCCTCCCATACCCCTGTTACTGCATCACAGAAGCTGACTCGTAGAATTGGCTTGTGTGAGCATAGAGAAAGGTGGGAGGATAAACACCAAGCTTTGGAGATTGGTGGTCTCATGTGGGAGGAAATGCAAGGGCCATGGAGGGAGAGGTGATAAATATTTGTCAGATAAATGGATGATAATAAATGTATAAATTATAGGTGACAAGTGTGATGAGGTTGGTTCCTTTTTGCTCCCGTTGCCACCATTGCTTCTTTCCTTGGCTTTGGCTTCATGAAGAAAGTGCTATTTATACTAGACTCAAAAGATGGCTGAGGTGCCTGGGTGGCTCGTTTGGTTGAGCGCCCAGCTCTTGGTTCTGGATCAGGTCATGATCTCATCGTTTCATAGTTTCAAGCCTTGTGTCGGGCTCTGTGCTGGCAGTGGCTGCTTGGGATTCTCTCTTTCTCCATCTCTCTCTGCCTCTCCCCAACTCTCACTGTATCTCTCAAAAGGTAAATAATTTAACCCACTTATCTATATGTATCTGTATTTATTTTTTTTTAAGTGGCTTAAAATATAAATAGGAAAGATGGCTAACTTCTAGAAATCCTTTATTCTGGTATCTTTTTGCTTAATTCTCAGAATTTTCCAGGTGGGTAAGCATATCAACCTACAAATAATGATATTGTAGTCTCTTTTCCAATATTTATATCTGTTTTTGAAAATATCATTACATTGACAAAACAATCATAAATACTCATGATGATCAATAGTTGTCCCTTGTGTTATTACTTTTTTTTACTATGAGGGCCCCTCTTGCTTCACTATTGGGAATAAGACTAGCTAGTGCTTTGAGGTATATAATTTTTCATTAGGTTACTAAAATATCCCTCTGTGTATTTATCAAGTTTAAATAAGAGTTTATGACATAGTAAGAGTTTTTTTTAAATTGTAATAGGTGTTTGAATGTAATTTTCTTCATGTATTTTCAAAGATGTTTTCTTGTCTGTTCACAGTCCAGTAGCACATCATCATCATATGTGTTTGTTAGACAATAATAAATTCACTGTAGTGTACCATAAAGTTAAGCCCCAGATATACAAGGAAACATAAAATTCAGGTCTTTTCCATCAAGAGGCTTGTGATTTACTTACTAGCAGAGACATGGCTTAAAAAAGATTGATTATAGGGGCACCTGGGTGGCTCAGTCAGTTGAGCGACCGACTTCGGCTCAGGCATGATCTCACAGTTTGTGAGTTCAAGCCCTGCATTGGGCTCCATGCTGACAGCTCAGAGCCTGGAGCCTGCTTCTGATTCTGTGTCTCCCTCCCTCTCTCTGCCCCTCCCTCACTCATGCTCTGTCTCTCTCTGTCTCAGAAATAAATAAACATTAAAAAAAAAATCTAAAAATAAAAGATTATTATAGGAGGTAGCATATCCTATGAGTGGCACACAGATTAACATTTCAAAAATATCACTTCCATCTTGTTCCTTTCCAATTAAGAAAAATTCATTAGATTTTTATGGCTTAATGCATAAAGTTCCAAATTTTTCACCACCTTCAGTCAAACACTAAGTCTTGCCAATTTTATTTCCTTGTCATTTGTGTAACATGCTTCATCTTGCCCATCCCTACCTATACTACTCTAAGGTCTTCATGAAAAAGTGTCCAAAATGGCTTCCCTGTCTTGAGCCTTGAAAATCTGTCCAACACAAATCAAGGCACTAAATGTGGATCACAGTTACATAATTTTTTTAAAGTATACTTATTTCTTAATCTTTTAAAAAAATCATTATTTTTATTTATTTTTTGAGAGACTGTGCATGCACACAAGCAGGGGAGGGGCAGAGGTAGAGAGAGAGAGAGAGAGGGAGGGAGGGAGGGAGAGAACGAGAGAATCTTAGGCAGGCTCCACGCCCAGTGCAGAGCCTGATGCAGGGCTCAGTTTCATGACCTCGAGATCATGACCTGAGCTGAAATCAAGAGTTGGTTGTTTAACCACTTGAGCCACCCAGGTGCCCTTTATTTCTTAATATTTAAATCTTTTTCTTAGAGTATATGACCTGTAGAAGGTCATAAGGGTACAAATTCAATAAACCATAAGTAAAATTCAGTAATTTATAACAAATGTAATAAAAACTCTGTGTTGTCACTACCACTAGCAGGAAATTGAATATTACCAACACCTCAAAAGGTCCCCCTGTAACCCTTACAAATTACTACCCCACCCTTCTTCCCAAAGGTAACCATCATTCTCATTTGTAATCCCACAGATTTGTTTTGCCTGTTTTAGAACTTTATATAAAAGGAATCAACGTATGTAGCCTTTTATATTTGATTTCTTTTGCTCAAAATTACATTGCTGTCTGTAGTTACTTCATTTCCAGTATACAAAGATGCCACATTATTTTTTTTATTCTTCAGTTGCTGGACATTTGGATTATTTACATTCCTTCACAATTATAAATAATGCTGCTATGAACATTGCTGTACTTGTTTTTTGGTTCACATATATATGAATTTCTATCCTATATACCTAGAAGTGTAATTGCTAAATTATAGAATATGTAGGTTTTCACCTTTATTAGTTAGTACCAAAAAGATTCCCAAGGGGGTTGCAAGAATGTATACTCCTTGCCCTGACTTGGTATTTTCAGTCTTCTTTTTTCTTTTTTTTAATCTTTTATTTTGAGATAAATTTTGAAATAAATTTATACTTACAGGGAAATTATAAAAATAGAACAGAGAGCTCAACCAGCTTCCTCCAATGCTAGCATCTTACATAATGATAGTACAATGATCAAAATAAAGACACTGACATTGCTGAACCCTGATACAGATGCTATTTGGATCTCACTGGTCTTTCCACCAACATCCTTTTTTCTGTTCCAGGATCGAATCCCGGATTGTACATAACACTTGTGTCTCCCTAGTCTCCTTCAATCTGTGATTGCTCCTCAATTTTCCCTGTTCCTTCCTTTACCTTGTTATTAGTACTAGGATACTAGTCAGGTAGTTTATAGAATGATTCTCAATTTAGTTTTACTGATACTTTCTCATGGTTAGAATGAGGCCATATCTTTGGAGGAAGAATGTCACTGAGGTATGTGCACTTCTCAGATCATATCAGGAAGCACACACATCCTATGATGTTAATCTTGATCCCTTGAGAAAGGTGATGTCTACTAGATTTCTCTCTTTCACTCTCTAATCAACAGTATTTGGAAGGAGACACTTTGATACTTAATGCAAATATGCCATTTCCTCTTAAACCTTTGTTCATTCATTTTAGCTTCCACTGGTTGTTCCTACTGGCAGCTTTTATTACTGTGATGTTCTAATGGAGATTTCCCATTTTCCTTATTACCTATACACTTATTAATTGGAATTCTCTTGCAGAAAAAAGTTTTCCCTTCTTCTCCACTTATTTACTTATTTATTTATATCAGTATTGACTCATGGATATTTATTCTATTCTTTGACTTAAAATTCAATTTTTTCATTATTTATTTTCATTCTCAAATTGTTCTGTATTTAGCCATTGGGTATTCTTTTCAGGTTGACTTCTGTGATTTTTTTCAGGGTGGAATTTGAGTATAATTTATTATTTACAGCAGAATTTTAAACATATAAATAACCATGAACTTTGGCAAAATATTTTCTTTTTTTTTTTTTTTTTTTATTTAAATTTTTTTTTTTCAACGTTTATTTATTTTTGGGACAGAGAGAGACAGAGCATGAACGGGGGAGGGGCAGAGAGAGAGGGAGACACAAAATCGGAAACAGGCTCCAGGCTCCGAGCCATCAGCCCAGAGCCCGACGCGGGGCTCGAACTCACGGACCGTGAGATCGTGACCTGGCTGAAGTCGGACGCTTAACCGACTGCGCCACCCAGGCGCCCCGGCAAAATATTTTCTAAAATCAGTCCTCACGTTAGTTGCTTCATAAACTTATTTTTTTTAATTGTGGTAAAAAATGCATAACATAGAATTTACCATTGTAACTATTTTAAGCACATAGTTTGGTAGCATTAAGTGTGTTCACATTGTTGTGCGACCATCACCATCATCCATCTTTATAACTGTTTCATCTTCTGAAACTGAAACTACAAACATATTAAGCAATAACTTCCATCTTCTCCTCCTTTCAGCCTCTGGAACCCATCATTCTACTTTATGAATTTGAGTACTCTAGGTACTTTATATAAGGGAAATCATACAGTATTTGTCCTTTTGTGTCTGGCTGGGTTCACTTTGCATGATTTTCTCAGGGTTCATCCATGTTGTAGTGTGTGTTGAAATGTCTTTCCTTTATAAGGTTAACTAATATTCTGTTTTAGTATATACCACATTGTGTTTATTTCTGTGCCTATTTATTTATTTATTTGTTTATTTATTTTTAGGAGCTTTGGCATCACAAGATGCTCTAGACCCATCTCACATATTCCAGCACTAGAACCAACTTCTCCAAAGAGCTGTCTTTTTGTTGAAGGATGGTGTTTAGAAACCAAATGATTGTGGCCATTATAACTGGGATATCACTGCTTCTAGGCCCTATCAGTGGACGGAGTAGGAAATGTATGTATGTTTACTAATCCATTTATCCATACATGTCTGCATTTATTTCTGTACCTGTCTAACTATATATATAATTAAAAACAAAACAGCACATGAGTTCATACTGATACTTTCAATTCCAATCCAGCTTATTTATAACTATTTGTGCTTATTTATAACTTTCTTTGCCAGCGAGAAACCTGGCTTGCTTTATCTACAAGAGACTTATTTATCCCAAATCAGTATGCATGATTCAAATAGTTTAAGTAGTTTCACTAATACCCCAGAGAAGTAAGTTTACCAACTAGAGTACAGTGTGTGTGTGTATGTTTTAATGTTTATTTATTTTTGAGAGAGAGAGAGACAGACAAAGAGACAGAGCACGAGGGTGGGGAGGGGTAAAGAGAGAAGGAGACACAGAATCCAAAGCAGTCTCCAGGCTTTGAGCTACCGCACAGAGCCTGATGCAGGGCTCAAGCTCACAGACAGTGAGATCATGACATAAGTTGAAGTTGGACACTTAACCAGCTGAGCCCCCAGGCGCCCTGAGCACAGTGTTTTGGAAATTTTTTGATTAGCCTTACAATATCCAGTTAAAACACTGTTTTCCAAAGCTCCTTAGGTCAGTTCCTTTCTTACTCAACCTTTCAACGTGGTTACTCGTGTATAACGCAATTAGATTAATTTGTAATGCAATTAGAATCACTTGCCAAAATGTTGCATTTTATCTTGAATTGCCCTCCCACATTCTATTTCTTTTTTTTTTTTTTTTTTATAATTTTTTTTTCAACGTTTATTTATTTTTGGGACAGAGAGAGACAGAGCATGAATGGGGGAGGGGCAGAGAGAGAGGGAGACACAGAATCGGAAACAGGCTCCAGGCTCTGAGCCATCAGCCCAGAGCCTGACGCGGGCTCAAACCCACGGACCGCGAGATCGTGACCTGGCTGAAGTCGGATGCTTAACCGACTGCGCCACCCAGGCGCCCCCCACATTCTATTTCTTATTTACATAGAGTAGGATTCATTAATTTTGGTGGATTGTTCTGTAGGTTTTTAAAAAGTGCAAAGAGTCATGTACCTATCAGCTCAGCAACGGAAAGAACAGTTCCATCACCTTAAAAATGCCCTTGTGCTATGTCACTTTGTACTTAACCCCCCTAACTCCTGGCAACCACTTATCCTAACAGTGCCTATAGATTGCCTTTTCTAGAATGTCATGTAAATGGAATCATACAAAATGTAACCTTTTAGGTCTGACTTCTTTCAGTTAGCAAATTCTGTTTAGGATCCACTGAATCAATCATTTATTCCTTTTATTGTTGAGTAGTGTTCCATTTCATCCACTCACTGATTGAAGGATATCTGGGCTGTTTCCAGTTATTGGTTATTATTAATAAGACTTCTGTAAATGTGTGTATACACATTTTGTGTAAAGAAAGGCTTTCGGTTCACTCGAGTAAATACGAAGAGTGGAGTTGCTGGGGCACGTGGGGCACATATTTAAGTTTATAAGAAATAGCCAAACCGTTTTCAGTGCAGCTGTAACATTGGCATTTTTTGCCAGCAATAGGTGACAAGACTTTGCCAGCACTTGTCATTTACAATGTGTTTATTTTAACCCTTCTAATAGGTGTGCAGGGCATATCATTACGGTTTTCATTTGCCTTTCCCTACAACTAAAAATATTGTGCATCTTTACATATGCTTATATTTCTCTTTGGTAAAGTGTCAAATCTTTCACCCATTTTTAAAAAATTGAATACATTTAGGCAACTTTATTTTTATTTTATTTTATTTTATTTTATTTTATTTTATTTTATTTTATTTTAGAGAGAGCGAGCGAGCATGCAAGTAGAGAAGAGGGGCAAAGGGGAGAGACAGAGAGAGAGAGAGAGAGAGAGAGAAGAGAAGAGAAGAATCCCAACCAGGCTTCATGCTCAGTGCAGAGCCCCCATTGTGGGGCTTGATTCCAGGACCCTAGAATCATAACCTGAGCCAAAATCAAGAGTGGATGCTCAACTGACTGAGCCACTCAGGCACCCCTAGGCTACTTTTATTAAAATGAAAACAAACAAAAAAAAAGGCTTTCTAAGTAGCAGGCACTTTGCAATACATTAGTTAATTGGGAATGGGGATAGGATACAGAAATGAATTCAGAGGCATGGTATCTACCTTCAAGGAACCAATTGTCTAATGAGGGAGGCACTATATAAAGAAATCACTGTAATTATAAGCACAAGAAGGTTTTGATTGCTACCACCTAGTTCCCAGGAACTAGGACCTATGACAGGGACTTAATATATACAGATGCTGATATATATGCACAAAGTCTAATTTTTACAACATCTTAAGGTAGTTACTACTATTCCCATTTTGCAGAAGAAAAAAGTGAGGTCATCGATTTTAAACTCTCTAAGGTCACATAGCTAGATTGATGAGAACATGCTATCCGTTATATCTTGTTAGGTTTCTTTTGAGGCTTAGGAACATTTCTGTTGGAAAGTTTATTTAAAAGAAATAAATATTTCTTTTTTTAAAGTGAAGTATAATTGACCTACAATATCCTATTAGTTTCAGGTGTAGATCATACTCATTCAATATTTTTCTGCATTATGAAATGATCCCCATGATAAATTTAGTTACTATCTGTTACCTTACAAAGCTATTACAATATTATAACTATATTCTTTATGGTGTAGATTATATCCCATGACTTATTTATTTTGTAAGTGGAAGTTTGTACCTCTTAATTGCACATATATTACTGGCCCTTCCAATCCCCTTCCCTTCTGGTAACCAGTGGTATCCATGTTTGTGTATCTGTGAGTCTATTTCTGTTTTGTTTTGTTTGTTCTTTAGTTTTTTAGATTCCACATATAAGTGATGTCATATAGTATTTCTCTTTCTCTGACTTATTTCACTTAGCATAATACCTTCTAGGTCCATCCTTGTTATCACAAATGGCAAGATTTCATTCTTTTTCATGGCTAATATTTCATTGTCTATATATTCACATTTTCTTTATCCATTTATCTATTAGTGGACACTTTCTCTTGCCCATTTTTATTGGGTTGTTTATATTCTTATTATTGAATTTTGAGAGTTCCTTATATATTCTGGATATAAGTCCTCTACCAGATATGTGATTTGCAAATGTTACTACAAGTCCTTAGGTTGTCTTCTTATTCTTTTTTTTTAAATGTTTTTTTCAACGTTTATTTATTTTTGAGACAGAGAGAGACAGAGCATGAACAGGGGAGGGGCAGAGACAGAGGGAGACACAGAATCTGAAACAGGCTCCAGGCTCTGAGCCGTCAGCACAGAGCCCGATGTGGGGCTCGAACTCACGGGCCGTGAGATCATGACCTGAGCCGAAGTCGGACGCTTAACCGACCAAGCCACCCAGGCGCCCCATCTTATTCTTTTAACAGTGCCTTTTGCAGGGCAGAGTTTTTAATTTTTATAAAATCCAATTTATCAACTTTTAATTTTATGGATTATACTTTTGGTGTCCTATCCAAAAAATCTTTGCCAAATCAATAAAATTAATGGTTGGTTCTTTGAAAAGATCAATAAAATGATAATCTTCTAACCAAATAGAACAGGAGATAAAAAGAGAAGATACAAGTTACCAGTATAAAAAAAAATGAGAGGGTATCATTACCAATCCTATTGAAAGGATAATAATATTATGAACAATTATATACTAATAAATTTGTCAACTTAAATGAAATACACAAATTTTTTCAAAGATATAAACTATCAAAGCTACTTGAACAAGAAATAGAGAACACAATTAGACATATATCTATTAAAGAAATTAAATTTGTACTTTAATACTTTCTCACAAAGAGAATTCTAGGCCTAGATGGTAAGTTTTACTAAAGGTTTAACTAAGAAATAATACCACTTCTATACAATTACTTCCAAAAATCGAAGAGGAGGGAACTCTTCCCAACTCAATTTATGAGGCTAAAATTACCGTGATCCTAAAACCAGACAAAAATATTATAAGAAAGTAAAACTACAGGCCAATATCCCTAACACAGATGCAAAAATTCTTAATGAAATTTTAACAAATTGCATCCAGCAATATATTAAAAATCACAACACACTCTGACCACTGGGGTTTATTCCAAGAATGCAAGGTTGGATCGATATTTAAAATCCAATCAATGTAATTCATTATGTGAGCAGAATAAAAAAGAAATGTGATTATCTCAACAGAACAAGCTGACAGACTCCAACAACTATTCAATTTAATAGTTCTATTTAATATAACGCTAGAAAAATAAAAAGCATGACAGTTGGAAAGAGAAAAAAGTAAAACGGTCTTTATTCATAGGTGACATGTTTGTCTATATAGAAAATTCTAAACAATCTATAATGAAAGAACTGAAAGAACTAATTAGTGAGAATATCCCGTTTGCAAGATAAAAAAATCAACTTAGGGGTGCCTGGGTGGCTTGGTCGGTTAAGCATCTGACTTCGGCTCAGGTCATGATCTCATGGTCCGTGAGTTCGAGCCCCGTGTCGGGCTCTGTGCTGACAGCTCAGAGCCTGGAGCCTGTTTCAGATTCTGTGTCTCCCTCTCTCTCTGCCCCTCCCCCATTCATGCTCTGTCTCTCTCTGTCTCAAAAATAAATAAATGCTAAAAAAAAAAACTAAGAGAAAAAAATCAACTTAAAAATGAATCATATTTTCCTGTATGAGCAGTGAATGACAAGTAATTTACGTTTATGAGATAATACCATTTATATGACATCAAAAATATAAAATACTTATTTTTGACCTGTTAAAAACTTTTTGTTAAAAAACTTTTTAGTGTTAAAGAGTACAACACACTTCTGAGAGAAATTAAAGAAAATCTAAATGAATGGAAGTAATCAACCATAATACTGGATTAGAGTCAGTATTCTTAAAATGTCAGTTCTCCCCTCATCTACAGATTAAACACAACTCCAGTCAAAATCTCCACAAGCTTTTTTGTAGGAATTGACAAACTGATTCTAAATTTACACAGGTGTGAAGGATCTAGTATGCAGAACAACTGTGAAAAAGAACAAAGTTGGAGACTTATACTATCTAATTTCCAAACTTATTATAAACCTACAGTAATCAAGACA